GATGCACTTGTTCCTAGTAGCTTCTTGTTACTACTAGTAAGGCACTTGTTACTAGTAGCGATGCACTTGTTACTAGTAGCTTCTTGTTACTTCTAGTAAGGCACTTCTTGCTAGTAGCGATGCACTTGTTACTAGTAGCTTCTTGTTACTACTAGTAAGGCACTTGTTAATAGTAGCGATGCGCTTGTTACTAGTAGCTTCTTGTTACTACTAGTAAGGCACTTGTTACTAGTAGCGAAGCACTTGTTACTAGTAGCTTATTGTTCCTACTAGTAAGGCACTTGTTACTAGTAGCGGTGCGCTTGTTACTAGTAGCTTGTTACTACTAGTAAAGCACTTGTTACTAGTAGCGATGCACTTGTTCCCAGTAGCTTCTTGTTACTACTAGTAAGGCACTTGTTACTAGCAGCGATGCACTTGTTACTAATAGCTTCTTGTTACTACTAGTAAGGCACTTGTTACTAGTAGCGATGCACTTGTTACTAGTAGCTTCTTGTTACTACTAGTAAGGCACTTGTTACTAGTAGCGATGCACTTGTTCCTAGTAGCTTCTTGTTACTACTAGTAAGGCACTTGTTACTAGTAGCGATGCATTTGTTACTAGTAGCTTCTTGTTACTACTAGTAAGGCACTTGTTACTAGTAGCGATGCACTTGTTCCTAGTAGCTTCTTGTTACTACTAGTAAAGCACTTGTTACTAGTAGCGGTGCACTGGTTCCTAGTAGCTTCGTGTTACTAGTAAGGCACTTGTTACTAGTAGCGATGCACTTGTTCCTAGTAGCTTCTTGTTACTACAAGTAAGGCGCTTGTTACTAGTAGCGATGCACTTGTTACTAGTAGCTTCTTGTTACTACTAGTCAGGCACTTGTTACTAGTAGCGATGCACTTGTTCCTAGTAGCTTCTTGTTACTACTAGTAAGGCACTTGTTTCTAGTAGCGATGCACTTGTTACTACTAGCTTCTTGTTACTACTGGTAAGGCACTTGTTACTATTAGCGATGCACTTGTTTCTAGTAGCTTCTTGTTACTACTAGTAAGGCGCTTGGTACTAGTAGCAATGCACTTGTTACTAGTAGCTTCTTGTTACTACTAGTAAGGCACTTGTTACTAGTAGCGATGCGCTTGTTACTAGTAGCTTCTTGTTACTACTAGTAAGGCACTTGTTACTAGTAGCGATGCACTTGTTACTAGTAGCTTCTTGTTACTACTAGTAAGGCACTTGTTAATAGGAGCGATGCACTTGTTACTAGTAGCTTCTTGTTACTACTAGTAAGGCA